CGTGTAGTCGCCGTAGAGGGGCAGGGGACGCGTCCCGGCCCCACCTAACCATGTCAATTATGCCAAGTTGGTGCGGACGGGAGCCCGGTCCCGGGCGGAGTTGGGATGCTTTTGACAACAAGAAGTTCGGGAGTGGGGATATTGGCACGGAGTAAATCCCGCCCAGCCCTGACCTCCCCACAGCGGTCACGCTCGGACGAACGGACCGCCAAGCGCCAGGACGCGTCCTGTCCCCTCTCGCCGGCGCCGAACCGTGCCGAGAGGAGCCGCTAGCCCGGCGCGCGGCCACTCACCCTCCTCGCCGAGTCCCGATCGCAAACCGACGTCCCTGCTGCGGGTTCTAAGTGCCAAGTAGCCCCTACTCGGTGGCTGCTCACGGCCCGGTGGACCAGGCACATTGGCTCCGGCGGGCACCTCAGCGGGAGTACGGCAAGCCTGGCGGCCGCCGCGGCTACACAGTCGCCCGGAGCGCGCTGACAATTCACGGACCTGCTCAACGAATGAGGCGGAACGCCGGGCTGAGCGGACCAGGCTTTGGAGGGGAGGCGGGGCCGCGCGGCGGGAGGGGCGGAGCCAGCCCCGGGGCGTCATCAGCCCATGACTGGCGGAGCCGGCAGCCAATCGTGGTGGCGTTGGGGCCTCCCCGTAGCCGCCGTCCAGTCGCCTGCGGCCGAGGGCCGGCTAGGGAGACGCGCCGGTGGCTGGGAAGTTGGTTGTTGCGAAGGGCCGTGGCTGCCGGCGGGCGCTGTGGGGCTCTCTGCATCGGGACCCGAACGGCTCTGGAGGGAGGCAGCGGCCCTAGAAGGCAGTTGGCTGAAAGAGACCAGGAGCTTTCGGAGCTGCCGCGCGCATAGCGCTGAGGAGCAAGAAGCCAACCTCAGCGCGAGTCGACACGCCAGTACCTAGCGCCCGCAGCAGGCGCGGAACTTAGCTGTCCCATAGGAGCCCCGCCCGGAGGAAGCTGAGGGCCCAGAAAGGATGAGTTCCGGACCGGGTCACCCAGTCGCAGGTGGAAACCTGGGCTCCTCTGGAAAAGGTTCTGATCTCGATCTGGCTATCTCTGAAACAAAACTCCAGCCCCGCAACCCCCCCAAAGTTCAGTACACGTCCCCGTCCTCACCCCTGCCCTCCGGGCCACCGGCAGCGGGGTCTTGCCAGCGCCTCGGGTCTCCTCCTCCCGACCCAGGGCGTCGCGGGCACAGCTGGCGGCCAACAGAAGGCTTGGGCGCTCGACGGCGCCGGAAGCTGTGAGACCCTCCCTCTGGACGGACTGCCCTGCGGGGTGGCATCCTCTGCGGTGACTTCTGCTGCTGTTTTTGGGGTCCGCCAGGATTCCAAAATGCAGGGCGGGTGGCTGGAATTATCCATCTTCGTGGACAGGAAGCCCCGGAACGAACCACATCTGTCCCACTCTGCTTCCGCCCTCCTTCCCCGTCGCGAGCTCCTGGCTGGGATGAAGACATCGGGCGAGCTCGGGGATCCCGACCTCTCAGGGGTCACTCGCAGCCGAACAGCCTGGAATATGGCCTTGTGGGCCCTTCCAGCCCAACCCCCTAGGACCCCGCTGCTTATCTTGTCAACCAGTTTCTGAGCCCCTACCCTGGCTGCAGCACGCGCTTGCACAGGCGCGCTGAGCTACTAACATAGAATCAAAAGCAGGGGGTTGGGTGTTCTTGCTTTCCCGCTGAAGCCTAGAATGTAAGCAAGCCCTAGACCGTCAGCTCTGGGTGGGTAGGGGCCTCTCCCTGCCTAGAACTGCACTTGCCATGGGTAGGCACCTAACCCTTATTAGTAAAGGGTCAAACAACCTGCTGCCCGGATACTGACCTTCACCACTTATCTCTTGCTTCCAGCCCAAGCGCACTTCAGACCATTGCCTCATTCAGGTCCCAGGAGTCCTAAGGGTTTTAGTCTCTCAGTATGGGCAACTATTCACATGTAAGGGAGCTGCAGGTGTTATTTCAATGCCATCTGGCCTCTATAAGGTCTTGCATCATAGCTGACCTCTCATGAGAAGGTTCTGATGAGGTCACCAGGGAGAAGGAATGTAAAGGGCTGGTGGCTGAAAAGGAGTGAAATGGCCCCTCTTAGGTGAGTTCTGGCTTAGTTTGAGTTTCAACTCTGTCTCCTCAGCTCCATTTCTCAATGGGAAAAGGTTCATAGGAAGGTTGTCAGAAAGGCAGGAGACTAGGCCATGGACAGCCCTTTGCAGACCCTGAAAAATTGCTCAGTAATGCAAAAATTGTCCATATTTAAGTTATTTCTTTTCTATCTCGTGAACCAAAGGACTGCTACAGGCAAGGAAGACCATCTGACTCAGTTCCAGGGGTTCCTTAGCATGCTGCTGATTGGCCTAGGAGAATGGCCTTTGCCCATAAAGTGTTAGATGTAGACCACATGAATGGAATATTCACCAGGTTTCTGCCCAGGTATGGATTGGGTAGGGACATGGCTGGAGGTGCCACACAGGAGAGCTAGAGAGAAGACTTGACTCCCAACCTGATTCTAGCAGAACTCCACTTTGATGTGTTTTTAAAATTGTGCTCTTCTGTTTGCTTTCACGGAGGCTGCCATGAAACATCATCTTTGACTAGAATTACCAGGAAATGCTCATGGAAGAAATATACTTCCTTGGATTTTTTTCCTACCACACTTCAGGATATAACTAGAGAAAACGTTTGCCAACAGTGCTTATCATATTAGTACCCTCTGAAGCTTTTCATAGATGCTGATTACTATTTTTAAAATCATTTTGGGAATAGGAGCCAAACACTAGGTCGTGACCGTAAATTACTTTAGTATTTACATTACATGATTAAAAATGGAAATAAAGGAAATTTCCTGTCATAAAACAAGTTAGAATTAAGCAGGTGACTTTCTTTCTTTTGTTTTTTTTTTTGAGACGGAGTCTCGCGCTGTGTCACCCAGGCTGGAGTGCAGTGGCGCGATCTCGGCTCACTGCAAGCTCCGCCTCCCAGGTTCACGCCATTCTCCTGCCTCAGCCTCCGAGTAGCTGGGACTACAGGTGCCCGCCACCACGCCCGGCTAGTTTTTTTTTGTATTTTTAGTAGAGACGGAGTTTCACCATGTTAGCCAGGATGGTCTCGATCTCCTGACCTCGTGATCCACCCGCCTCAGCCTCCCAAAGTGCTGGGATTACAGGCTTGAGCCACCGCGCCCGGCCGCAGGTGACTTTCATGTCCCAATTTCCAAAGTTTTCTGTTTGTTTCAGACAGATAAGATCATCCATGGGTTCCTGGACAAGTAACAGGTCTCATTTTCCCTTGTAGAACAGAAGATATGGAAAAGACAGCATATTCAGACTATATTCGTGTTTCCATACCATCTTTTGTTGTAATTGATTTTCAACAAGAGTCCCTAACAATCTCTTGAGTTTGGGCCATCCCCATATTCTACAAGGGAAAATGAGATCTGTTACTACTCCAGTAACCCATGCTCACACTATCTGTATGGAACAGAGAACCATGAAAATCTGGATGCAGAAGTCACTTGTTTAGTTCCAATCTATTTTGCGAAAGGAAATTTCTTTTACTCAAAGAGATGAAGAAATTTACGGAATGGCTTTGGAATGAGAAGATTCAGGTGGGACCAAGCAAGGTTTGTTCTTTAGTGGATGGTAAGATTGTCTTCAGGCACTGTCACTCCTTTCTGACACTAAGACAGTATTTTAGAATCTCCTAAATTTCAATAGGATGTGATTGGTAGGAGTCATGGGTTCTAATCTTAACAGCTGCTGGGGTGGGTGCTCCTTGCAGTCACTCATCCTTTGTTATACTCTTGCTTCTTTGACCATAAAACAGTAGTGGTAGAATTGGCCCACTATGTGTAGCTGCGTAAAGGGGACATCATGACAGTGGTTATGAAGCACTGCAAATGCGTTGCATTTATAGTAGTACTGACTGCTAAAAAGGAGATGAAAATGATGTTGAGATGGGAAAATAGTGTGGTTTGAACAATTACTATTTATATGTGCAATTTACATTTTTCTATTTACATGTGCAATTTCCTCCTTCCTTCCCTTCCCTTTCCTCCCTTCCTCTCTCCCCCTCCCTCCCTCTCTTTCTCTTTCTCTCTCTCCTGCTCTCCCTCTCTTTCTCTCTTTCCCTCTTTCTTTCTCAGACTCACACTCTGTCACCCAGGCTGGAGTGCAGTGGTGTAATCTTGGCTGACTTGCAACCTCCACCTCCCTAGTTCAAGTGATTCCCTTGCCTCAGCCATCTGAGTACCTGGGATTACAGGCATGGGCCACCACACCTGACTCATTTTTGTATTTATAGTAGAGACGGGGTTTTGCTATGTTGGTCAAGCTGGTTTCCAACTCCTGGCCTCAAGTGATCTGCCCACTGCAACCTCCCAAAGTGCTGGAATTATAGGCGTGAGCCATCACGCCCAGCCCATTTATTTTAATCTCATTAGATATTGTCCTTTCAGTATGTAAGTGGAAATGAGAGGAAACCATCTTTATTCTTTAAGGAGGAATACAGCTTCTAAAAGTTTTGGTTACCTAAAGTTTTTGAAGGTGTAACAGGGAATGAGTTACCAAAACAGGAAGAGTTGTAGAAGCAGACCTAGAGTTAAGGAAAATTTTACTTACATGGATAGTATTTTTTTCCTCTCCCTGGCTCCTGCCACCTCTCTCAACACATATTTACTGAGAAAGTTGTTCACAATTTAAAGAGGTTGAGCCAAAGATCTTAGCAAAGAAATGCAGTCAGAAGCTGCAGATTTTTTTTTTTTTTTTTTGAGACAGAGTCTCGCTCCATCACTCAGGCTGGAGTGCAGTGGTGCAATCTCAGCTCACGGCAACCTCTGCCTCCCGAGTTCAAGCGATTCTCCTGTCTCAGCCTCCTGAGTAGCTGGGACTACAGGCATGTGCTGCCACACCCAGCTAATTTTTGTATTTTCAGTAGGGCCAGAGTTTTGCCGTGTTGGCCAGGCTGGTCTTGAGCTCCTGACCTCAAGTGATCCACCTGCCTTGGTCTCCCAAAATGCTGGGATTACAGGTATGAGCCACTGTGCCTGGCCCAGAAGCTGCAGATTCTAATATTAGCTTTGCAATGTATTTATTCTGAGACCTTGGGCATGTCATCAACCTTCCATATCTTAGTTTCCTATCTGGGAAACTGCAGTGGTACTTATGACCAATTTTGCAGAGATGACAGCAATAACTAATGATAGGCACTTAGATTTTAGACTTAATGGGAGTTAGCTCCCTTGACACAGCAGTATGGGAACAATAACTGGCCAGCCAATGAGTGAAAAAGCTGGATTATCCCTTAGAAATGAATTGTATCATTACTGATTATGAATACCCCAAATTATGACAGATTCACATGTAAGGATGCCAGGGAAAAGTAGCCGTGAGCTATATTATACAAAATTGTTTATTACCCAAGAGAATCTAGGTGCTAATACGGATGGTACTACATCTGTGAAATTCTGAAACCCATGAAGGATTTGAAGATATAAAGCCAAATAAAACATAATACAGAGGGAAATGATTTTGATTATGTAACATTTATATATAGCATTTCATTTTACATTTTCAAATTGCTTTTCAGTCATTGATTTATTCTTCACAGCACACCTGGGGAGTACATCTGTGCATTTATCCTCTGTTCACAGCTGAGGCAACTGTGACTGAAACAGGCAAAGTGGTTTGTCCAAGAGCAAAGCCATGGGCAGGGTGAGAAATTGTTCATTCATTCAATCATGCATCTATTCTTGGCAAGGCACCAAAGTCTGTGTGGTGATGGTGCACGGAGATAGATATTGTCTATGTGGCCTCTACCTTGCAAGAGCCTGCAGTATGCTGAGACAATAAGTGGTTCATGAATTATGCCTCCCAGAGTGCTCAGACAGCAAGGACCAGGGTTCAGAGAAGAGGGTGAGAGTTCCCTAGGATTCCTGGAGAGAGTTGGATTCAGGGACCGTGAGGGATGGGTAGAATTTTGGAAAATGGAAGTGTGGCTAGTGGGAATGACAGACATGAAGGTGGGCAAATTTAAGATGTTTTGGAGAGTATCTGACTACAGCAGGGCCATCGTGGGGAAAGGGCAGGAGAGTGGAAAGGAGCGGGTTTCCCAAGATCCTGAATGCCCAGCCCAAATACATGGATGAATCCATGAATCCATGGATTTCAGCCTAATGGGCAATGGGGGTTGGACTTATCTCTGACTTCTCGTATTCACTCATTATTATAACATGTGCTGTACCTAGTGCTAATACATGCTTAGTCTACAGGTATTTTTCCACACATCAGCTTTTCTAACCTTCACGTCACTCTGAGATACATATTATTCCTCCTTTAATGGATTAAAAAATTGATGCACTTAGAGGTTGAGACTTCCCTACGATCATGTAGCTAATAACTGACATATTTGAGATTTGAAAGTAGGATCCCTGACTTCTACATGGAGACAAATGGAAAGAACAAGTGTAGATTCTGGAGAGTGTACTTAGGATGCCCATCTAATAACATGTCCCTCACCTTAGTTCAGTGTTGTTCCAGAAAAAATAAGTACATAGGAGTGAAATATTTTTTTTTTCTTTTGAGACAGGGTCTCACTCTGTTGCCCAGGTTGGAGTGCAGTGGCATGATCTTGGCTCAGTGGTTCAAGATTCTTCTGCCTCAGCCGCCCAAACAGCTGGGATGACAGGCACATGCCACCACACCTAACTTTTGTATTTTTATTTTTATTTATTTATTTATTTATTTATTTATTTATTTATTTATTTATTTAGTTTTTTGAGATGGAGTTTTGTTCTTGTTGCCCAGGCTGGAGTACAGTGGTGCGATCTTGGCTCACTGCAACCTCCGCCTCCCTGGTTCAAGAGATTCTCCTGCCTCAGCCTCCCAAGTAGTTGGGATTACAGGCGCCTGCCACCATGCATGGCTAATTTTTTGTATTTTTAGGAGAGACAGGGTTCACCATGTTGGCCAGGCTGGTCTTGAACTCCTGACCTCAGGTGATCCACCTGCCTTGGCCTTCCGAAGTGTTGGGATTATAGGCGTGAACCATGGTGCCTGGCCTAATTTTTGTGTTTTTAGTAGAGATAGGGTTTCACCATGTTGGCCAGGCTGGTCTCAAACTCCTGACCTCAAGTGATCCACCTGCCTCAGCCTCCCAAAGTGCTGGGATTATAGGCGTGAGTCACTGTGCCTGGCCAAAACGGAACATTTTAAAATCCCAAATCTACTACACAACAGACTGTCCTTTACGACTGAAATCATGGAGATTTGTGAATAAAAGGTAGAATGTTTCTCCATGTTTGTTTATTTGCTCGTTTTTTTCCTTTTGTTTTTTAGGAAGTTTGAGAGAAAGAAAAATATGCCGAGATGATTAAGTTTCACCTAAGATTTTAAAGCTCCATCTAAAAGATGTGGAAAACAAGCACTGTACCAGAATATTGTACCTGATTTCTGCCCTGTCTTAAAAACACCATGACATTTTCCTTGATTTCAAGAATACAGAAAATGAACATGGTCCTTTAAATTATGTGACTCTTTCAAAGCAAAATGGAAACAAGGAAAAACCACATTTGTTTTCTGCCTCCCTTTTCCAAAAAGCTGAAAATACAGTGCAAATGAACTCTCAGTCATGGGTCAACATCTTTACAAGACCTGCTCCTCGTTCTCAGGTTAGAGATTTCTCCTCTGCCTCCCCATCCTCATCCACACCCAACTTGAAATAGGTCTCCAGGTCCCATTTTGACCACATGTTCTTTCAGTCACATATGGGAGATGAGAAGGGGTTAAATATAGCTATGCAAGACTAGCAAAACTCATCAGCAAACTGGAAAACAACTTCAGGCTTACTATCAACAGTGGGTAGTTAGCATCAGTTTAAAGACTGTGAATGCGCACAATTTTCCTAAGAATATTTTTCAGAAGAGTGTAATTATAGGTATAATCTCTAATTGCATTATAAATGATAAATAAGAGAAGGTTAGCAAACTATATTTCAGGGCTGTTTGCTGTACTTATCTGCTGCCATCATTGGCCCTGTCTTCCTTTGTGACTGCAGACTGTGTTTATTAGTCTTGGTGGTAAGGCGGAATTGCTGTACGGTAGTTTTGTGTTAGGAAAGGATCTTACAGATGATGATGAAGGTTGCAGGAAGGACTGTTGAAGTGTTTTATTTTGGTATTTGTTTCATTTTTAAAGGCTGTGACTAGGACGTCATATCTGTCTAACAAGCATGCGTGTAACATTTTTATATTTGCTGAGTGCTTTATAGTCCTCCATTAGTCCCCACAATACCCCTTGAGGGTAGGTCAGTATTACCGCCTACAGTTTACATATGAGGAAATTTAAGATACAAAGGGATTATGTGATTTGTACAAGGTCACCCAGCATGCAAGCCTAGCTAATAAAAGGCAACTGCAAAGCTCTTTCCAAATAAAAAGTACCTTATAAGTGTTAGGTAGTATTAATGGGTATGATCCCAGAATGAGTAAAATACTCTTCAGGAGTAAAGTGCTCATACATGATATATAAGATTAATTCTCTCTCTCTCTCTCTCTCTTTTTTTTAACCTCTGGGTGACTTTTGAAATAGTTATTCTTGAACCTGGCTATGCATCAAAAACGTCTCTAGAGTTTTTAGAATATGTGAGCACATAGGCTCCTACTCAGCTGATAGAATCAGAATCTGGGCAGTGGGATTTAGATAATTATGCCTTGAAAAACCTCCACGGGGGATTTGGATGCTCAGTCAGAGTTGAGAACCACTACTCTAGACTAGAAGAGTAACACTGGTCAGGCCAAGAGCAACAACGAAACACTGTGGAGTTAATTCAGAAGAGAAAGTCTGGTGTCTTCCAGGCCTCTGTCCAGCCAGTTCACAACTATTATTAGCAGAGGAACTGCCTCCCTGAAATAATCAACTGTAATAACTATGTGTGAAATTCCAGGAAATAGTGCAGAGATTAAAGTTTATTTAAGAACCACCAGTTTTTGAAAGTTATAATTTACTGGGTAAATTTACTGGTGCACCTTGGGTTATTACTGCGTTTAATGCTTTTATTCTGAATACTTTGTACTTCTTCATAATGAACATGGTAAGAACCTATAATATCTGCCCATTCATCCATCTGCCAAACACTTATTGAATACTTGCTGTATGGAGATTTCAGAGTGAAAATAATGATCTTTTTCCAGAAGTTTATAATCAAGTGATAAAAACAGACACAGGCAAAACCAACCAACCAAACAAAAACCCGAAGCCACACATATGATAATAAAAAGTATAATCAAAGCGTTAGATGAGGCATTATTCATAATTGCTAAAAAGGGGGACTGATAATGCTACAACATGGATGGATCTTAAAAACACTACGCTAAGTGAGAGAAGCCAGTCACAAACATGGTATTCCCATACAATGAACTATTATTATTATTATTATTATTAATGAAGTGGAATATAGTACTGATACATACTACAACATGGATGGATCTTAAAAACGCTATGTTAAGTGAGAGGCATCAGTCACAAAGGACCACATATTGTATGATTCCATTTATATGAAATGTCTTGAATAGGCAAATCTGTAGAGACAGAAAACAGATGGTTGCCTAGGGCTGGGGGTGGGGAAGGATGGAGGAAATGGGGAACTGCTAGTGGATACAGGGTTTCTTTTTGGAGTGACGAAATGTCCTAAAATTGACTGTGGTGACAGTTGCACAACTTTGTTGACTGTACTAAAAACCATTCAATTGTAAATATGTGCATTGTATGATATGAAAATTGTATCTCTTAATAAAGACAATAGATGATAGATAGATAGAGCTGTATGAACTTAGAGGAAAGAGTGATTAATTAATTTGGATTGGAAGAAAGTGGTGGGAAATTTCCTGGAGGAAATGACATTTGAGCTGACTCAAAAAGGATGATTTTTGTAAGATGCTGTGGATGAAAGGAGGGAAGGTATGCTCAAAGAGACACTCCAAGTGAGGGTGCTTTCATGCAAGGGCAAGTTATCTGGAACAGACAAGATGCATGAAGATACAGTAGACAGAGGCTAGATGCATGGCTTTTACTGTCATGCTAAGTTCTGTAGTTTGATTTTCATTTTTGTAGGCAATGGAAAGCCACGATAGGTCTGTGAGTGGATGATCAGAACTGTGATTTGGAAGGATAATTAGAAGTGGTGATGAGGTAGATGGAAGATGGTGTGGGAAGGCAGTGAGTAAGGGAGGCCATTTAGGAGGCAAAGGGGTGTGAGCCACTACGCCCCAACTAAGGAGACAGATTTAAGAGATGGTTAAGAAGTAGAATCATTAAACTCACCTACTCCCTGATGGCCCTGGGGGAGTAGGTGGAAAAGCATAGAAATTGGACAGCACACTATCTGAAACCACATAAGGACATGGGTCCTTTTATGACAAATTATTTTGAATGTAAAAACTTTTGTTGAAATAATGTCCAGCAAGCAAATTGTAGCTCTTTACATCTGTTAACAAGGGTTTGATTACAGACACTCTTAAATTTCTTAACAAAGGAATGTGTATTGTGAATCAAAGGTGGATTGAAGACAGCAATGCAATCCAACCATTCTATGAGCACTTTCCAATCAGACCTCCCCTTGTTGAAGATGAAGCAGTCGTCATTTATGGACTATTCTGAATGACTAAGTATTTACCTCTTGCTCAGATAGCTTCCCTAGAAACACTTCCTTTGGTGTGAGCAACTTGGATTTACTGCCAGGGCAACACCTCCCATCCAACGCCCACACTGCCTCTTGGCTCGGTCCTCACCAGCAGGTGTTCATAAGCAGTATTTTTGTTTTGCTTCTAATAAGAGTGTAGGCTTTGAAAAGCATAGGCTGAATGTATCACCCATTATACTTTCACTTACAAGTGTTCTTATGGGGAGATTTGAAACCTTGGAGTCTCAAGGATCAGGAAGACAAAGACTGCCTTTTCTCATGCAAGGCCACACCTATGTTTTCCATTAGAAGGAGGGGCAGGCAAATCCTGGGCAAGGTCAAAATAGAAACAGTCTCTCCCAGTACATGGCGGTGTACTCCCTGGGGATCTGTTAAAGCCTCTTTTGTGTGTTTTGGAAGGTGTTACAGTTACACTGCCTGCTGCTAGCTGAGTTTGAGAACAGTGCCCTGATAAGTGCCTTACAGGAGTTTATCAAGTGGAGAACACCATTTAGAACACCACTCACTGAGATGCAGCTCTTATCTGTGTCTGTCAGTGAACAATGACTATGACAAGCCATGTTCAATCACAGATCACAGTTGTTAGCAGAGCTAATTACAGCAGTCTCAGGTGAGAAGAATCCCAGCAGCTGCCTCTAAGAGACTTCCATCACAGGGGCTTCGCAGGTAAGCAATGAAAATAGCCCCTTGGGGATCTTTAAACAACAGTTCTCTGCAACTCTGAACATGGACTCATCCACAGTTGGTGAGAGATCATGTTCAAAGGAGAACCACCAAAGGGAGAAGGAGGAAAGGGATGCTTAAAGCCAGGAAGGGAAATGTTCTGGATTAAATAAGAGCAGAACTGGGTATTTATTATTCCTTGGGCTGTCTGACTCACTGCATAACCTTATAAAGTCATTTCCACTTTCTGGGCCTCACTGTTCTCATCTCAAAAATAAGGATAGTAATACCTGCCCTATTTATATCATGGGATTGCTGAAAGAATAAAATATATATATTTAAAAATAAAAGCTGGGGAAAACTAGAAAATAGAACTTTAGGTAGTGTAACTGATTCCCTTTGTCTTATTTCACATTTTACTTATAAATGATGGAAGGGAACAACAACAAATATTGGTGCTATTACAGAATCCCAGATTTCATTTTCTCATGCCTCCAGTTTTTTGTGGTTTGCACATCTTCAGATTTGCCTGCCCTCCCCAGTTTGTTCTCAGCATCAGTTCTGGGGTAAACTCATCTCCAGTTTGAGGAGCAGAGGAAGATCCCAAGAATCTGAAGAGACCAAGCCCCTGTATTTATTTAGTCTCTTGTCTTTGTGTCTCCTGCTGCAGCCCAAGTCTTGAAGGCCTCCTCCCAAGTCCTGAAGGTGTATCCCACGTGTGGGACACCTGGTTTGCGGGGGACGTTGGCCCTGAATGAGAATTTCTAACGTCAAATTGGGACTTAAGAAGACATCTCTAGAAAAAAACCCAAAAGAATCTGTAACGACGTGCCCTAAACATGTCTTAGGCTGGGTCTGTAACTACATTCTTGTTCCTGCTGAAAATCACAGCATCCTTCTAACCAAGCAAGGCATGTCCACTTATCTGATGGTGCTGTCAGTGATAGAAAGGGATCATATTATGGATTTGGCAGGGAGGAAAAAGATTTATTTCCAAGTTTTGAAGATTTATCTTTTCCAGATATGCAAAACCAGTCAGAATATTTAAAACAAAATCAATGAAAAGTGATCATGTTTTGTGAGCAGAAGGAACCGTTCTTGACTTCAAAATAATGAAGACTTATAAGGATCCCAAATCCATGATAAAACATGATTTGACAATAGCAAGTGAGCAGGACTACCAAATCCTTAACTGCCCCCTTATGGAAAACTTTCTGAATGACTAATGGAGGCGATGTCTCCATTTAATGAATGTGTTCCGTT